AAGTGTTGTGAGTAATAAAAAAGTTATTAGATTACTATTTTGAAATATAAATGACACTTTTGAATGTATTTTAATTATTTTGATTCAATAAAAATAATGATTAACATTTTTTAAAAAACAATAAAATTCAAACAAATATTACTAACAACTATTATGTCGGTTAAATAAACTTATTATGGTATTAACAACTACAAATTTTAGTATATGGAGTTAGTGTTGAATAGAATTATATATAATTTACTTATTATTTAGAGTGTTTCTTTAGAAATTAGACGATTAATTTTATATACTTTTATTAATTTATTATTTTTTAATAAAAAAATAATTTCAAATGACCAATTGTTATACTCATTTACTAAGCATAAAAATATAATGAACATTGTATAACATGAACATATTAAAATAATTAATATAATTAAAAATTAATTTATTAAGTAATAAAATCATTCAATTATTATAAAAAATTATCAAAAGTTCTTCGTTGTTTTAAGTTGCTAATAAAATACATCAGATTTAAATTAAAATACAAATCTAATAATTAGAATTGATTTTATAATGTCTAAATTAGACAATTACAATTGTATGATTGTTTCACAGTACTTCACAACAATCAAAGACTTCATAAATCTTGAACAGGTGTGCAAAAAGTTCAATGGTAACATGGCGAAGTTCCACTACAACCCAATTCCCTTGACATTGAAAACAATCACATTTTTTGAGTCTCTAGAAACACTTCACATCTGGCAGTCAAATGAAGAAAACTTTGGCAATGACTATATGGCACAAGAGAAAAAACGAATCAATCAAAATACACATTACCACATTATGCAACACCCATTTAAAAAACTGATCAAAGTCTGTTATCCGAAAATGGTCATGTTAACACCAAGTTATTGGTTTCCAAATGCGTCTGTAGCTTTTTACAACATCATAGTTTGGCATCAAGTTGACTATCAAGTTGTTATAGACAACAAAGACAAAAATGTGATTTTTAAAAATGTGAAATTAACAACAAAAAGTGAACAAGAGAGTTGTGGAAATATACCCAAAGTAGTGACTGAAGTTGGCATGCAACTTTTTAAAAACGACAAAATGACTTTTATTGAAATTCCAAAGTATGTCACTCGATTATATACCTCAGCGTTTGACTCGTGCACTAATTTAACACGTGTAGTGTTTCCCGACAATTTGTATGAAATTGGCAATTTCTGTTTTTGTGGGTGCATTAACCTTGCAGACGTAGTATTACCTTCACGCCTTAATAAAATTGGTATGGACGCGTTTAGTCAATGTAAAATGACATCCATTACTATTCCACAGTTCGTCACTTTAATACCAATCAACTGTTTTAAAGATTGTAAAACGCTCAAAGAAGTCAAATTACATAACAATATCGTTGGATTAAATCAGTTTTGCTTCAGTGGATGTGTTGAACTGTGCCACATTGACATACCAAGTTCGGTTAAATCAATTGATATTGGCGTGTTTAAAAATTGTAGAAAACTAAAAAGTGTGACTCTCCCAAGCGAAATTTGTATAATTCAAAATTTCCTTTTTAATGGGTGCGACGAGCTCTGTGAAATTAAAATATGCGAGAAAGTACAAAGGTTAGGAACATATTGTTTTAAAGATTGTCGTTCATTGAAAGAGTTCAGTATACCAATCGGAGTCAAATCGGTCGCAAATGGTTGTTTCGAAGGATGTGCAATGCTCTCTAAAGTCGACATTTCATCAACAGTAGAAACAATTGGAAGAAATTGTTTTAAAGGGTGTGTGTTATTACCTTCAATAACACTGCCGCTCACAGTCAAATCGTATGGCCAGTCTATTATTTAATATTATTAAATCTTTAATCCAATCGATTTTAGTATTATTATTATTAATATCTGATTAAATTTAAGTATAATAAAAATTGATTTATAAATTATACATAAAATATTTTTGAATTGTATAAAGGAGAAAAAAACAGTTTCCGTCTTTTTAACTGCTTACACTCGACTTTATAAAATTAAATGATATTAATATAATAAAATGTATAGTACTGTTTACCATGAAGGCTGAATATGCCCCGTGGAACCTTTTTCTGTTTAAGGTGGTAATTCGTATTATAATTTTATTATTTTAATCAATCGTAACGATAGCAAAAAATTAAGAAGACGGAAGCAGTTTTTTATCCACTTTATATTTAAGTTTACTAATAATATGGGTTGTTCAAATATTATGTACAAAATAAGCATTTAATACTTAATCACAATCAACATGTTTATTATTTATAATAATTATGTTATAAACTCAAAAACATATTTTAATAAAAAACATATAATATTTGTTATAAAAAATGTTAATTATCACATTTTTAAATTAAACAAAAGTGTGAATTTTTATTGTAAAAGTAAATATTAATCATTTAATTATTATGTTAAAGAGTTATAAAACATTGGAAAAAACAAATGGTATCATTAATTTTTATAATTCGAAACTTATTATTGAATGAAATGTTTTGAATTAATTGTAAAATTGAGATTAAGGCAAAACCAAGTGACTTTTGAATGCAAAATAAGGTTTATTTGTTAATGAATAACAACAACCCAAATAATCGAGACAACAATATATTTTACTAATGTGTTGAACAAGGAATACTTCAATAAGTGTAAATATTCATTATTTGGTGTGGTTTTATAAAAATATGTAACATAAAAAAACTTATAAACAAAGGAATAGTTCGACTTTGTATGGAATATAGTTGATAATGTTGTAAAAGTAAACTCGATAAAAGCCGTTCAACTTGAAGAACAACATTTACAATATATTATTTGATATGCAATTTCAAAGGGAATAGAATAAAAACAAAACATATAATATGAACAATCCACAAATGAGGGTATAATGGATGACAGGAATAATAATATAACAAAATAATAGGAATTAATAAATTTAAAAAATGTTTTTTTGTTTTTTTCAAAAATAACATTAAAATAAAAACCTTATTTAATACAGTAAAAAGCATCTATTTGTGGGTTTATCATGGAATTGTGAAGTAAATTCTTTTCACTATTTTATACATAAAAAATGTAAGATATTAATATTAGAGTATTTTAATTATAAAAATACTATAATTTTTATTTAAGTATACCTAAATTCAAAGTTCCAGAGCAAAATAATTATTTGTGGGTTTTGCATTTGATTGGTCCATTGACCCACAAATATAAAACCCACAAATAGATGCTTTTTACTGTAATTAAATCATTTTTATTCTAAAAGTTAACAGCTGCAGAAAGATAATTTTTGTTAAAGATTTTTTTGATTGTTCATGGGACCTACATTGACCACCACCACCTTTACCAAATAAAGTATTTGCCGCGAGTGTTTTTTGAAGGAAGTCCACTTTTCAGCTACTGTTTGTGCGTCCCCATGTCACCCACTTTCCTTGTCCGTACTGTGTGGACGCGGATGTGGTTCCCCCCGCTTGCGGGGGGGTCAGGGGGGATCCGCGCCAAGGGAGGACTTGGAAAGTGGGTGAAACGGTGCACAAACAGACTGTTTGAGTGTGTCTTTAGAGCCTTCTTTTCAATGCTCCGTTTCACTCGTTTTCCACTAACTCGAGGTGAATTTTCGGCATTTCTCGAATTCGGGAACCAGACCAATTATCTTCCCAGTTTTCTATTTACTATAATTTTAATTTGAATATGATTCGAAATAGAAAAAATAAATCTATTTTAAGAGGTGGTGGTGGTGGTCAATGTAGGTCCCGATTGTTTATTATAAACAAAAATATTAATATTTTGTTTGTTTTGCGTTTTCTTACAATTATGAATAATAAATTTAACTTAAAAACGGAAATGATCTGATAATCAAAAAATAACCAAATAAAGGAATTTAAAAAAATGAAAAACGGTCACTGTGGGGGTTGAACCCACGGCCTTCTCCTCCGGAGGGAGATGCGCTTCCACTGCGCTAAGTGACCATTTTAAACATAATTACTAATTAGTTGAAATTGTTGTTTTAACACGTTGGAATTTCCTTTTTTATGTTTCATATGAAAAAAATAAAAAAGTTTATGTTTTTTTTGCAGCCTGTAAAAAACAAAAAAGAGGAAAATCTGTTTAAGCTCCTTTGTGGATTTTTATTATTGTGATTTTTGTAAAAATAATATTCAAATGATAACATAAATCACTAAGGTATTTTGATTCTTGAATAAAATAGTAAATATTTGTCGTTTAGAAAAATAGTTTTTGCTTAATATGTTTAAAAAAATAACGTTTTTACACAAACTGTTTTTCAAAACTCTGTACTGAAATGCCCCAATTTATTGGATTTATTATTCCTAAATTATTTTTTCTTTGCTTACTTTCATTTTTTGTTCAAAATATTTACTCAAAAAACAAAATAACATACCTGATTTTTTAAATTTTACTTAACAAATAAATCTTGCACCAAAAATTTACTTGAAAAATATAAAAAACAAACTTGGGATTAAAATTTTGATTACCATAACACAAATTTTGCCAAAAAATGAAAAAACAACTTAATAATTTGATTTCGGTTTTTATAAAATCACCAAGTTGTGTTTCAGATAAAAATGAAAAGTATAAACGAGTAAAACCAGCATCAAAAAAATCGTTTGGGACTAAATAATTATTTTTTAACTGTTTGTTGGACATTAAATTGTTGTGATGAACGGCCCCGTTTGTTTTTAATGTTTGTCGTTTTATGTTATCGATGGCCATTTCTTTAAATGTTAAAATAAATAAAAACTGATTGTTAGTTTAAGTGTTGCATTATTTGATGTAATGGTGTTTTTCATCACATCGTTTGTTAATAATTATATTGTCGTTTATCTTATGTTTGTTTGAAACATACAATTATTCTCACGTTTAGTTACAAAATGGAACACAAACCAAATAACAACCTAAAAAAATTGGGAAAGATATACTTAATATTTGGGTGATTTGTCGATTTTTTGTTCAATAATTGAAACTGTATTGATTTTTAAGGGTTTTAAACTGTGTACCGTTGTTGGTTCAACAAACAGGAAAATAAATAATAAATAAAATAAAACAGATAAAAAACAGTAAATAATGGGAAATTGAAACAAAGCATTTTTATAAATTTTGGAAACAGTACAGAGTTTTGGAAAACAGTTTATAATATTGTTTGCATAAAATCAGTTTTGCCCTTTGTTTTTGTTTGAAAATGATAAAATATTCAAATTACTAACAATAAAATCATATCTTGCTTCATTGACGATGTCAAGACGTGAATTTTAACGAGCAATCACAAAATATCATGGTGATCAAAGTTTGTTCAATTACGATTATTTTTTAAAATTTATTTCATGATTTTTTTTAATATCGATTTTGATATTATTGATACTTAAAAAAGTCTATGTTTTATTTTCTTTTCTTCGTTTTTCATGATGCATTTGATTTTGAATATTCCGGACCAGTATGTTTTATGATGAGATTTGGTCTTTGTTATATTTTTTAATTAATTTATGTATTGTAATAGGTTGTGGACACCTCAATAAATGTTTGATCTAACTTTTCCATTGAACTGTGACTTGTTTCTGAAAAAATCAACCAAAAAAGTGAACCTTTGTTCATCCCAACTTCAACAAAATATTCACTTTTTACTATAATTTATAACATTTTACTATAAAAATTTACTAGAGCCATCGTTTTCAGGGTGTCTAGCTTTTTTTGAAAAAATTAAAGAAAAAGAGGTCACATTTACATTACAATTGACTAAGATTTTTTTTTACAAATTTTAATTTTTCCGTCCTCGAAGGGTTAATATAATTCAAATCTATAAAGTCGAATGTGAGCGGTTAAAAGGATGGAAGTGGTTTTTTTACCTCCACGTAAAAGTAATAAAACAACAATTTTCACTTGTTTATCAAACCATTGATCAAGTTGACAACTTCTCCTATATCAATCCTTTCAATTGGATTTTTACACCAACATTTTTGAATGACACCAAACTGTTCATCAGACATTGAACTTTGTTTTTCAAGATGTTCTCCTCGTGTCACAAACTCTGCAATTTTCCATGGAAACTTGAACTGTTTTTCTGAAAAAGCATTGCACCACCCAAAGCACTCGTACATTGTAATCGCAAACGAGTATATATCTGATGGTTTCTTGTAGTGTTTCATTTTTAATATTTCAGGTGCCATGTAACTTGGTGTTCCAATACCTTTTGTGAATGTCATGTTTGTTGTCAACATATTGACATTTCTAGATGATCCAAAATCAGTCAGCTTTGCATTGACACGTTCGTTATTATCCAATGAAAATATGAGAATGTTGTCTGGTTTGATGTCTCTGTGTAAAATGCTATTCTCGTGGAGATATTGAATTCCTCTTGCTGCATCTAAAATAATTTTAATACGCATTTTTGTTTCAACTTCAGTTGACTTTTTTTGTTTCAAAACATCATTCAAAGACCCAAAATGTGCATATTCAGTGACCATACACACCTTGTTTGGTATGAACACAGCGCCATAGAAGTGGACGATATAATCACTCCGGAATTTGTCCAACATGTTCACTTCCTTCTCAAATTCATCAAGTGACTTCTTTTCATCAGTAATTTCATTTGTAACTGTGTTTGGTGATGCAATTTGTTTCATCTTTTTTATGGCTACTATATTTCCTCTGTAATTGCCTTTATACACAATGCCAAATGATCCTTCGCCAAGTTTGGTGATCACATCAAGTTCTTTATAATTAAGTTTGGTCGTCTGTTGTGTAGTTGTGTCAATTCCTATTTTAGCGTTTACGACATTTCCTGTTGTTATATCAAGTGAAGTGATCATCACACTTTCTTCGATTTTACACGTACAAAGGGGTTGTATAAATATCTCAAATTCACAAGCTTCGCCCCTTTTCAGTGTAACAATGGAAGGAACTGTGCGAATTTGATAAGAATCACACCCTTCTATGACACTGAACTGGACTTTCATATTATGTTTTGAAGTGTTTCCAATGCAGATCAAGTCTCTTGTCTCTTTATCAACAGGAATAAGATCGTCCGTTTCTAAGTCAAACTTCAATTTGGATTTATTAACTACTATATTGTCCACTAATGTCGACATCTTGATGTTCGAGCGACTCATTTTATATGTGCACACTTTGAGCTCTTCTTTCTTCTGTTTTCTTTTGAATATTACAATAAGAGTAATCACTATCAATAAAACAATTATTATCATCACTAGTAGAATCGATATTGGAATACCAATTGCCGCTCCCATATTTACAGTTTGAATACAACTGTCACCACTTTCAGATGGTTTGTTATACCCATTGCATCTTACACACTTTGAATCTGTAGCCTCAATACAATTTGGTATTTTAGAGTAGTGTACACATTTAGAATCATATAAAACGTATTCTTTTGATACACAATTTGTACACACATTTTGTGAAATACAGGATGTGCACAATTTCTCACATTTTGTACAACGCGAATGTGATAAGTAATATCCATCGGCACAGACTTCACAGCCATAATATCCAACTTTCAAACAGTTTGTATTTGTTGTGTTAGGTTGACACAAGTGACTCTCGGACTCAATTATGAAATAGCCATCCGCACATACAGAACATGATGTATTGCTTATACATGAACTACATGAAATGTCACAGACTATACAATCTTTGAGGACTTTATAATATCCATCTCTACATATAGCACATCCACCACCTGTTGGAATCGTGACACTGCATTTGGCACCCAAATCACCAAGGGTCTGACATTTATTTGTTGAGTCAATATAAAACCCACTTTTACATGAAGTACAATATGTCTGTGAGTAACACGAACTGCAATCGTTGGTGCATTTCACACACTCATTATTTTCATCGTAATATCCATCATTACACCGTTGACATCCTTTGTTGTCTCTCATTTGACATTTGGACTCAGTAACTCCTTTCAAATTGAATGAATGTTCAATATGTGAATTGGATATAACAGAGACAGGAAGTTCGGGTTCCGTTTCTGGTGGAACAACAGGAACTTCATCTTCGAACGATTCCTTACACACCCCACCTTTCAATTTGAATAAATCGTTACATTCTACACATTTACTCGTTGAAAAAGCAAGTCGTTTACAATTTGGATATACCGTTGAGGGTATTGGAAGACAGAAATCGAATTTGCCTTCAACGTTCAAAGAGTCAACTTGATAAAATCCAATTGAACACATCACACAGCCAGACACACTCGACTTTTCACAGTTTTGTTCATTTTGAAAAACGCATTGATTCTCTTTGACCATCAAATAGTCGTTGGCACATCGCTTGCACTTGTTTCCTTCGCAAAATTGGCAGTTTGGTGTTTGGCAGGCTGTGCATATTCCGTTTCTGATTTGTGATGACACCGACTTGCATTTAGAGCAGTAATTATGTGTATATTGCAAACACATCTCATCTGTTATACATTGCTCTGTCCCATCATCTTTGACTGTGTTTTGTGTGCATTTCAATGTGTATGTATTATTTCCATATTTAATACAAATTGAAGCAAAATTTGGACACACTTCACACACGTTGTTATTATTGAGATATTGGCCATCTGGACAACTATACTGAACACCATTTCTATACAATTCATTTGATTCTATTTTGTTACATGCATTTGGTGATAAAGTAAAATTGTCTGTGCACACAAAACACGTTGAAATAGTATTCATTGTTTTCTGATATTTGCAATTTGCAGCAATTGACACACAATCAGAATTGATCGAAATTTGGTCTGAACAATCACACGACGCTGGCGACAGACTCGATGGGCTGTTGCAGTTTTGAGCACTTTTACACATCCCATTTGATATGAAATAATCATCAGCGCAATGAACACATTTGGTGCTTTCAATTTGTACAGCACACGTCGTGTTTCTATTTACACAGCGATTTGTTGTTTTGTCATAATATGACGCTGAATCACATTGGTCACAACTATTACCATTTGAACTTAAATTGTATGGGGGATAACATTCATTACACTTCGCATTGCCAACAGAAGCTGTTCCACAGTTTTCACAATTCAAAATAGCATTGTAACACTTGTCGCATGTAGTCTCCGTCTTTTTGTAAGTCCCAGCTTCACATGATAGACACTTTTGATTTGAGAGGTAAAACGGGTCTTTGCAACTGAAACAACTCTTTTCCGTATTATTACAACTGGTGCAATTGCTTGTTATTGTTGAGCACGCAACACACTTTCCGTTTGGGTCGGGGTAATACCCATTTGAACACTTTACGCACTTTCGTGAATAATCAAAAGCACAAGTCACACAATAACTGTCAAATGTTGCACATTGCACACAATTCATTCCTTTTGGTTCATTGAAAACATAGTTATATAAACACGTGTTACAAATACCACTTGATGTGTTACAATCGCCATTACATGTTGAGTCACAGTCTTGGCATACTTTATTTGAATCATTTGGGTATTTACTCGGTCTGCAAACAGCACACTCTCTTTTATCAGAAACACAAGTCGCACAATTGAAGTCGAATGTTTGGCAACTTTCACACTTAAATGGATCTGATGTTGTTGGAACATACGATTCGTTACACCCAGTACAATGCCCATTTGTTGTGTCACACTTTCCTCCACACGTGGCATCACAAAAATTACATCTGAAATCGCCAGCGGTTTGTGGGTAACTACCAGCAACACATTTGACACATTTTCTAACGAATAATGGTGAACACGTCACACACCTTGAATCAAAAGCAGTGCAATCAACGCAAACATTTGAAATTGGACTTGTGATGACTTTGTTTTCAGTGCATTTTTCACAATTGCCATTTGACGTGTTACACGTGTTTGGTGCACACGATGCTTCACATGGTATGCATTTCCCCTCTGCATTTGGATAATATCCCGTGTTGCATGTGGTACACTTTCTTTCATAATTGGAGTTGCATGTGACACAGTTGCTATCAAAATCGGAGCATTTTTGGCACTTCAAATTGTTTGTTTGATACAAAACATAGTTGCTTTGACACCCCGTGCAATGACCGTTTGTTGGTTCACACTTCCCTCCACATGTCGAGTCACACAAACCACATTTCATTTCTCCACTTGTTAACACAGGATAATACTTGTAGTTGCATTGAATGCAATTTCGTGTTTGATTTTGAGCACAGAATTTACAATTGGAATCAAATGAATCACAGCTTTCACAACCACCTAATGTTAAACCTGTAACATAATTGTTAAAACAATTGGTGCACGCTCCTGTTTGTCCATTACATTGATTACATGCACCATTGCATGGTATACACTTTTTAGTTGAAGTGTCAACATAGTGTCTGTTCGTACACGTGTTGCAACCTCTATTGAAAGACGAGTCGCAGATAAAGCAATTTGGATCAAATTCAGTACAAGCAACACAAATGCTTTTGTTTGTATCACCAAAGACCATGTTGGTCTGGCATCCAGTGCAATATCCAGTAGAACTGTCACACTGATTGTTGCACGTGTTGTCACATTTTTTACATTTGTTTTCAAACACAAAATAACCAGAAACACATGTCACACATTTTCTTGTAAAGTCTGGTGAACACGTTTGACAATTTGGATCAAAAGACACACAACTCTCACATTGTAAACTGTTTGTGGTTGACAACACGTAATTGGTAACACACCCAGTACAATGACCATCTTTCCCATCACACTGATTGCCACAGGTTGAATCGCAATTGGCGCAATTAACACCATCTTTGGGGTATTTGCCATCCCGACACTTCACACACTTTCTTGAGAAATCTGACGCACACTCATCACAATATTGATCAAAAACACTGCAGTTATCACATTTGTATGATAATGGCGATGTGACAACGTAATTTGGTGAGCACGTGATGCAAGTTCCATAAATTGGATCGCAATTGTTGTTACAAGAAGGATCACAACTCACACAAACCCCATCAACAGAAGGCTTGAAATGGTCATTGCACTCGTTGCAGTATCGCGCAAACAATATTGTGCATGTCTTGCAATTCTTATCAAAATCTGCACATGGAACACACGCCGTGTTATTCACAGTTGAAGGCACAAAGTTTGTTTGACACACCGAACATTTTCCTGTTGTGGAACTACAAGTAGTGCACCCGTAGTCACATGGTACACACCGCCCTTGTATTGGGTAATAATTACTTTTACAAATGGAACAACTTCTTTTTTTGTCGGATGAACATGTAACGCAATTTGCATCAAATGTTTGACAGGGAATACATTTTTTCGATTTCGGATTTCCAAAAACATAATTTAAAACGCAACTTGTGCATATTCCTGATGATTGATCACAGCTGTTATCACATGTCCAACTGCAATTTTTACAGATTTTAGTTGTCTCATCTGGATATTTAGTCGTTTTACATACCGAACACTGTCGTTCTCCTGCTGCACAAGTGGTGCAATCTTCATCAAAAGTTGAGCACTGCTCACATTTGGAAGGATCGAGTAATGATGGTACATAATTTGATGCACAACCAGTGCAAACTCCAGTCACACCATTACAACTCCCTCCGCACGACGAATCACACACAACACATTTACCATTGACTGGATGATAATTGGTGTTGCACTCAACACATTTTCTTGTAAAATCAGTTGCACATGTTATACAATTTGAATCAAAATCTGAGCATTTCTGACATGTTTGAGAAGTTGGAGATGTCACAACATTGTTTTGAACACATTTTGAACACAATCCACTCTTGACATCACATGTGTTTGCTTTGCAAGTTGCATCGCACTCAATACACTTTCCTGTTGTACCCGGATAATACCCCGCTGTACATGTCACACAACTTCTATTTCCACCATTTTGACACGTTTCACATTTGTTATCAAATGTTTTACAAAACACACAAACTTTTGATGGCGGATCTTCAAACACATTTTCTGATGCACATGAGGTGCAAATGCCAGTTGCTGAATCACAGTATGTGCAATTTGTCCCACATGAAACACACTTCCCACTGTCGTTTGGATAAACCCCCGTGTTGCAAATTATACATCTACGACTGAAGTTAGTTGCACATGCCATACAATTTGAATCAAAATCACTGCACTTTTGGCACACTCTCGAAGTTGCATTGATATAAACAAAATTTGATGCACATGAAGTACAATATCCGGTATTCCCATCACATTTGTAATCACAAGACGCATCACATTTTGAACACTTATTGTTATCTGAGATGTAATAAGTGCTTATACACTGTATGCAACTTCGTGTTCCATCAGTTGCACAAGTTTGGCAGTTGTTATCAAAAGAAGAACATAATTCGCATGTTAGAGATGGTTGGTTGAGTTGTGGGACATATCCACTCACACATGTTGTGCAATATCCAGTTGATGAATTACATCCATTTGCACAACTTGAGTGACACTGCTGGCACGTGTATGGCGATGTCTGAAGTGGATACAATCCCTTTGAACATGTTTGGCATTGTCTAAGTGTTTGTGAACACGAAACACAATTGGGAAAAGCAGTTGAACAACTATCACAAGTTTGGTTGTCTGATGCGGGTTTTGTAAATCCACTTGCACACACAGAACACATCCCAGTTGTTTGAGAACACACACTACACGATTGATCACAATTAATACATTGTTTGTTATTATTCGGGTACATTCCAGAAACACACTGATAACACTGCCTGTTCGGTTCAAGGCAAGTTTCGCAATTACTATCATAATTATTGCACAATTCACACTTTGTGTTTGATGTGGTTTTCAAAACATATCCAGAAGCACACGTGGTGCAAATACCCGTTCCATAAACGCAATTGCCACATGTAGAATCACATATTGTGCACAATTTATCTACGTTGTTGTAGTAATGATCATAACATATACTACAATAAGTTTTGTCAATTTGTCCGGTTACGGAATAACACAATTTACACCCATTCCCACATAATTTACATTCATTGTTATTAATATAATATCCAATTCCACAACTTGAACATTTAATTGTTTCATTTTCGATGGAACAAGCTGCACACCCAGTAGGACACTTCTTGCATATTCTAACAAGTCCATCTTCTTTAATGTAATAGCCATTGCTACATGATGAACACCTTCTTACATACATTTGACTGCAACTTGTGCACCCATCCATATATCCACAAGGAACACAATTATAATAATATGGAAAATATCCCGGGTTACATTGACTGCACCAATATTGATTTGTATAATAAGTTGCACAATTTATGGCTTTGGGATAACACTTTCCTCCATCAAGTAAATAATTTTGATAACATGAAGTACAATAACCTGTGTTGTTGTATAATAAGCAATTTGTTGGAACACATGCACTGTTTTGGCTCCAAAAGTAAAGCCCACTATCACCACAAATTAATGTACATTCTGTGTTGTTTGGAAGGGCACATTTTCCAAATGTATCATCAGAACATGTTGAAACTTGATAACCATCTTCACATCGATAACACAACTCTCCTTTGTTGTCAACACAAGTCAAACAATTTGGCTGCGTTGTAGAACCACAAACTATTTCTTTTTTAATTGAATTTAATTTCATTGGAGAAAGTCGTTTCACATTTTTAAAATCAATTTCAAAAATGGCATGTGTGACATTTGAAAATATTTGATTCGTGTTTTGAAAAACGACTTTGGTGGAGTTTAAAGAAACTTTTAAAATATGAACACTTTCATCATATTTAAATTCAATCTCTTTTATATTTGAACACTTGATTTGTATGACATTGGATTGTAAATTATATAATAACACTACTCCATCTTTTTCAAATATTACATTTTGATTATAATTAGAGCCGCAATCACATCGAATAGTTTCTTCAATTAAACACCAATGAGCTGTTGTCATGGCAATTATTATCAATAATATCAACTCAAACATGAAACCTAAAATTGATATTTAAGTTTGAAAAACTAAAAAGTAACAAAAACGTTGTTTATTATTGACTTATTAATAACAAATTTTTGATATTGTTATAATTACTATTTATTAAATAAATTGTTGAAAGATTTACTTGTTAACAATTTCAATCGAAAACTCAAAGTGTTTAAAATAGCAGAATACTTTTTAGTATATTACAATCAATATTTGTAAATTAAACGGATTATTCAATTATTTACCGAACTAATATTTTTTTAAATATTTATAAACTTTTATATAAAATTTTAAGTTTTACAAACCAAAATTAACCACCTCTAATTATCTGTTATACAAATATCCGAAAAATAGTCCGGCACAAAAAAAACAACCGGCAAACCATAAATTTATAATAAATTATTGTTTTTTGTTTTTTGTCTTGTTTTTTAAAATTTTCATTGAAAAAACTATTTAATAGTTTTTAGAAACCATTTTTATAGTTTGCTGGTCGGTTTTTCAGGTATCTGTAATATTATTTATATTATTTCAAAAAATGACAATTATTAAAATGATAACAATATGTATTAATATTTTTTTATTTATTAAGGAGATTATGTAAACTTAAAATAAATAAATAATATTTTTTTAAAAAAATTATTAAAATAAATTTTTAGCTAACATTTTTATATTTATAATAATTATAACAATTATATTATATTGTAAATTTTTATGTACTTCTAAATTAGTAAACTGAAATTGATGTTTTCAACATGTTGAAGCTTTGTTTTATTTGTTTTATAAAGTTAGTTTTCTATTTAGTAAAATTAAAATTTAAAATATTCACGAGAGTTTTTAAAAAAAATGGTAAATATTTTACACATTTTTTATTCAATTTTTTTTGTCTAAAATCAAAAAGGTATGTTTTGAAACATGTGATTTTATTTAAAAATGCTATTTTTGTTTTTTTTTGAAAAATAATTTTTGGTGTTATTCAAAAAAAAACATTTTGTTATCATATTTCGATTTACCACTAGAGTCAGTCTAACAACGTTGTCTGTTCCCCAAAAGTTGTCTTTTTGACAAAAAATAATTGATTTTTGTTTTAAAAAAACGGGAATTAGGTAAAAATGAAAAAAACCGGGAAAAATATTGAAACAACGATTTTGGGGTTTTTCAAATAAATCCCGAAATATTTCATTTATAATGGTTTAAAAATCGGCAGACAACGTTTAGCAAATGACTCTAGATAAATCAATATTGGACAAAATCGGGTGTTTGCTCAAAACTTATAAACTGCGACGTCAGGGGATTCTTTGCTCCAAATTTAGAAGGTAATATGAAGCAAAGAAAGTATAAAACGAAACGAAAATAAAAGAGGGTTAAGTCATATAGTAAAATAAATAGTATATTGTTACTATTGATATATAGTTGAATCATGTTTTTTTAGTCTACTTTTAATAAAACAATTGAATAGTATAAATAATAATAAATTATAGTTGTTATAAAAATAGTATTATTATATAATAAATTAATATAATCTACAATTTAATAGTATAATAAATTTTAATATAAATTTGAAACACAATTAAACTATTAATTTATTAATTATAATTTATTAATTATTAATTAATTTTTGTTAATATTTATATTATATTAATAAATTAACAATAAATAAAAACATATAATATGATAAAGTATAATGATGCTATATTATATAATATCGAATAATAAAAATTAACGTTATTTAAATTCAGTTAGTCAAAATATTAAAATCCGAAGTCAAATCTTCAATTAATTTTCTATTTGATTATTTTAATAGTTTTTTAAATTGTTAATCAGTTATGAAGTATTATTTGTCTGAATTCTATCAATTACATATTATTTTATATTCAAACCATTTATTATGATAAACATTATTTATTTTATTATACAAACGCTTTGAAAATTTTTTAAACCAAACCCGCCTTACAAACATTTCAATTCCGTTTTTGTTTCTCGTTTATTTTTCGACTAACATTACTATCAAAATATAAAATTATGGGCTTTTTTTGAATAAAAGAGGTATTCACACCACAAAAATTATATATTTATCTAGTTATTTTACCAATAAAACAATATACAATCAATCATTTTGATAGACACCACAAAATGAACAAGATGAAATAATGAATATAGATGCTCCATTTAGAGTAAAACTAATCATATTAATTAAACTGTATTTGTAAATCAAAGAAATAATTGTTGTTTTCAAATATTGTTATTGTTCAAAAACAAATTCATTTAAATATTTTATAAAAGTCAATTCATTTTAAAATTTTCATAAATAACTTATGCTGTTTTTGCAAACTATATTTAAATTTAGGCTTATTTAAGCGTTAACATGATTTTTTGACAACAATTGTAATTAACACGAAAAATATTTAACTATCATAATTTATATTTTATATATTGTTATATTTTTTATGCACTTATGTTGTTGTTTACTATTATTTTAATTTTAACGAAATGATAATATTATTATGTTTATTCTTTTGTTTGTAATTATGGTTTGTGCATATATATATTGGTGAACAATGAATAATTTGTTAATTTCATATTTAATAAGTGAATTTGCTTATTTTTTCTTGTTGATTGTACCCAATTTTTTTATTGGTGTTTATTAATTAATTTTTACATAATATTCAATCTTATCATTAATTTGTCATTATAACTAATAAATTATCGATGTCAATTAAATTTAATTGTTTATTTGTTATATAATCGCCTAAAAAGAAAATGCATATATTGTGTCATGTTATTATAACTTTTTAATTATAACTATTTTCATTTAAAGACTGTTTATTGTTGTTTGTAAGATAACAATAATTAATAATTGTTGTTTTAACCATTAATCAAACATTTTAATATAATAAAAAGCGTAAAGCTGGTTTATTGTAATATAATATGGTGTAATTAATCATAATAATATTCAGAATTATTAACCCTTAAAAAACAGCGTTTTCAATTATTTATACAACAAAGTTATCAATATAATAAAAAGATTAAACAAATAAATAACATATGTACAATAATGTATAAACAAATGTAATCGTTAAATATAATTTCCAATCGTATAATATATTTTAATAGCAGTGTTATTTTCAAATATTAATTGTAACTTTTGTGTAATTAATTTTACATGTTGTTAAAAAAAAAGAAAAATTAAATATAATCAATTGTTATCTATTTCATTTTGCAACCACTTCGATATACTCATTTTTCATTCAACAGCTTTTTCTTTATAATTACCTACAAGCAATATATAATATACATTTTTCTTACTATCTTTTTATTATTTTAAGTTTCACAACACACAACAATTAACACTTATATTTTATTAAAACAACAACAATAATGATTAATTAAAATCGAAACACCAATTAATTATTAATTTTCAATAATTTAATAATAACAGTTAAGTTTTACTGTTTATTGCTACACGTTTGTTTTGAAAAACAGCCCAAAAATTAAAAGCGGCAACTTTTTAGTGTGTAAACATGTAACATTTAACTTAAAATTTAAAAAGTAACACCAAATTTAAGAGAATAATACAGTTTACAACTATTTTATTTTTTAACTTATTGTACACGAAGACGTGCACATAAAAGATGAAATAAAAATAAAAGATTAAATATTACAATAACATGATTTTTGGTTGTTTTTGTGTGTTGATATATACACACTTACGTGTTAATATAATCACATAACCAAATATTATTTTTTGATATGATTAACACGGGTCATTAAAAAATAACAAATTATTTTTAAAAAAAATAGAACAACTTTATTTATTCATGACTGTATTTGTGATTACAATGTTGACACTTTGAAATCATTACATACATATACATATTGAAAGACAATGTTATATATTAAGACCATTTTTTAAAAACAACAATAACTTCAAATTTTTTTTAAATCATATTTTGTTATACAACTATTTGTTCAAATATTTATTCTTGATTAAAATCAACACATAATCATAAATTAATAATTATTTTTTTTATATTTTTTAACACTTTAAGTATTATATATATCAACGTTAAAATAACTATAGTTAATGTAGTATTTATCGTGTATACTATTATATTAACATCAAATATATATCATTTTATATGTTGGTTGTATTTAAAAACAACACTTAAATGTTGTTACAATCTATATACCATTAATTTACATATAATACATAATTTGTGTGTGAATACAAAATTATTTTTAATAAATCACTTATTATTACAATTCGAAATATCATCTTTACATTATCACATTTTGTGTTTAATTAAGTCTTTTAAATAAATACATATGCTTATCTGAAATCAAATAAACTTTTTATATATAATACTTAAATAATCATTATTATTTTTTATTATTAAGATATTAAAATTTGATAGATTTTAAATTAAAAATTTAAATTTATTCATTTGTCAATCCTTATATACGTTTTAATAAATAGTTCAATCATGACAAACCAAGCTTTTGGTTGTTGTTTCGCACGACTTAAAACAATTGTTTGCGTCAAACAATTGTTATTCCATTCCGAGTCTTCTTTAAAATAATTTATAAATTATTTGACTCGTTTTAAAAAATAACCAATTTTTATTCAATGTTTCTTTTTAAACATTATTATCAAATTTTACCATTTTATTAATTAGCAATTTATAATAACAAAATTATAAAAGTTTAAACCCGTTTAAATAATTATGTTAAATTATTACAAATAAAAATTTGTTAATTGCACGTTTCTTCTTTTTTGTAATGATTTCGAAATTTTTTTTCAATTATGTTATACCCTATTTAATAATAACCTTTTTTATTTAAAATAACGGAAGGATTTTTTCGTTTGTGAAAAAAATGGCAAAATTGATTTTTGGTTTCAATTAAAAAAATTCATATAACATTTTTTATAAATATTAATATTATTTACATATAAAATATTGGTTTTACAGTGCAAATTGTGATTTACAGTTGACCAAATAATAGTCAGAGACCAAATAATTGTAAGAAGTAAAATAAATAGTTTTAAAAATTAATCAAGAACTATTTTTAAAAATAGAAATGGGTTTCTTAGCATTATTTGGTGTACCTTTTTTTCACTTTTTTTCAATAGTCATTTTCGAGGTAATTAACAGGAAATACATCCTTCTTACAATTATTTGGTCATCTGTACACTAATATTCATTTTGCTGTTTTTATTATGTACTTTATTATTGATTGTATTTTCACACTAACCATAAAAAACCAAATGAATTATTTGCCTTATATTATTATATGATTGGTCAAAAACATACACTTCTAGGAACGTATTCAGAAAAAACATAATATGTCTAATACTGGATAAATGGGACCTACATTGACCACCACCACCTTTACCAAAAAAAAATATTTTCCGCGAGTGTTTTTTGAAGGGAGTCCATTTTTCAGTCACTGTTTGTGCGTCCCCATGTCACCCACTTTCCTTGTCCGTACTGTGTGGACGCGGATGTGGTTCCACCGCTTACGGGGGGATCAGGGGGGATCCGCGCCAAGGGAGGACTTGGAAAGTGGGTGAAACGGTGCACAAACAGACTGTTTGAGTGCGGCCTATATGAGTCTTCTTTTCAATGCTCCGTTTCACTCGGTTTCCACTGACTTGAGGTGAATTTTCGGCATTTCTTGAATACGGGAACCAGACCTAATATAATCCAAAACGCCCATTTACTATAATTATAATTAAAATATTATTAAAAATAGTAAATAAATTCTATATTTAGACGGGATGAGGGTGGGAAAAGCCTGCTTCCTAGATAAATATTGGTTAAGTAATCAAACAAAAAGAACAGATATTTATATCATCCATAAAGTCGTTTTTGTAATCAAAAATTAAAAAACCAAATAAAATTTAACGATAATTATTAATTGTTGTTACAAAAAAATATTATAAATTTATTCGTAATAATTAAAACAATACAAATTGATACAAATTGATAAATTAACAATATATACTCAATGTGATGATGATTTATGTATTTTTGTAAATTTCAAAGCCAAGGTTCTAAAGATCGATGAAACAACGATTTCTAAATAAACATAATTAATAAAGAAATTATTATTTTTGGGGCTATTTTATTGAATTTATCAAAAATAAACAGACAATATCAAATAAAATATGAATTAAATCATTAACAAATTAATAATATTAATTATTCTTTGGTAAAGGGGTGAAAAAAAGAGCTGCAAGAAAAAAAAGCGATACAGTCAAATCAATAGTTTTTTAAAATTGTTTTTGTAATTGTTTGTATAATTATGTTTTCCAATATTCCGCAATATGATTCAAAAAACGAGGTTTACAAAGAAAAACTTATTTTATGAAATTGCTCAAGTTGTAAAAGTCAGTCGTAAATTTTTTTATTGCTGAAAGAAGTTGAGTTTGCTGAGATAAAACACTAAGAGTTTCAATTGTTTTTTGAAC